TGAGCTATAGAATCCCACGGTATGCTACCAGGTCTCCCACCCTCACAGGCCCCCCAAACCACAGTGTTGGAAAGGAAACTGAAGATATGGTACACAAACGCTGATGGAATAACAAATAAGTGGGAGGAGTGGCACGAAAGAATCAAAGAGGCATCACCGGACATCATAGCTCTCACAGAAACCAAGCTTACAGGTATGATAACAGATGCCATCTTTCCAATGGGATACCAGATCCTGAGGAAAGACAGAGGGAACAGGGTGGTGGAGGAGTGGCATTGATCAAAAACTGATGGAATTTTGATGAGCTGGAGAGAGGAGACAGCGGAGAAGAAAGTGATTACATAGCAGGAACGCTTCACTCTGGAGGTCCCAAGGTGGTAATAGCAGTGTTGTATAACCCACCACAGAACAGCAGGAGGCCAAGGCAAGAGTACAACGAGAACAATAGAGCGATGGTTGACACCCGCTGCAGTGGCCAGAAGAGATCATGCATGCAGGGCAAAGCTCCTGATCATGGGTGACTTTAACCACAAGGAGATCGATTGGGAGAACTTGGAGCCACATGGGGGTCAAGATACATGGAGGGCTAAGATGATGGAGGTGGTACTGGAAAACTTCATGTACCAACACGTAAGGGACACTACAAGAGAGAGAGGAGAGGATGAACCAGCAAGACTGGACTTAGTATTCACCTTGAGTAGTGCAGATATCGAGGACATCACATATGAAAGACCCCTTGGGGCCAACGATCATGTGGTTTTAAGCTTCGAATACACAGAGCTACAAGTGGAGGGGAAAGCAGGAAGGCCAGGACGAATGAAGCCAAACTACAAGGGAATGAGGAACTTCCTGAACGGGGTTCAGTGGGACAGAGAACTGGCAGGGAAGCCAGTTAATGAGATGATGGAATATGTAGCAACAATATGTAAGGAGACTGAGGAGAGGTTTGTACCCAAGGGTAACAGGAATAATGAAAAAGCCAGGATGAGCCCATGGTTCACCCAAAGGTGCAGGGAGGCAAAAACCAAGTGTGCTAGGGAATGGAAGAAATATAGAAGGCAAAAGACCCAGGAGAATAAGGAGAGCAGTCGTAGAGCCAGAAACGAATATGCACAGATAAGAAGGGAGGCTCAACGACAATATGAAAATGACATAGCAGCGAAAGCCAAATCTGACCCGAAACTGTTATACAGCCACATCAGAAGGAAAACAACAGTCAAGGACCAGGTAATCAGGCTAAGGAAGGAAGGAGGAGAGACAACAAGAAATGACCATGAAGTATGTGAGGAACTCAACAAGAGATTCAAAGAAGTGTTCACAGAGGAGACAGAAGGGGCTCCAGAAAGACAGAGAGGTGAGGACACCACCAAGTGCTGGACACAGTGCACACAACCGAGGAAGAAGTGAAGAGGCTTCTGAGTAAGCTAGATACCTCAAAGGCAATGGGGCCAGATAACATCTCCCCATGGGTCCTGAGAGAGGGAGCAGAGGCACTATGTGTACCCCTAATAACAATATTCAATACATCTATCGAAACAGGGAGATTGCCTGAGGCATGGAAGACAGCAAATGTAGTCCCAATCTTTAAAAAAGGAGACAGGCATGAAGCACTAAACTGCAGACCAGTGTAACTGACATGTATAGTATGCAAAATCATGGAGAAGATTATCAGGAGAAGAGTGGTGGAACACCTAGAAAGAAATGATCTCATCAACAGCAGCCAACATGGTTTCAGGGATGGGAAATCCTGTGTCACAAACCTACTGGAGTTCTATGACATGGTGACAGCAGTAAGACAAGAGAGAGAGGGGTGGGTGGATTGCATATTCTTGGACCGCAAAAAGGTGTTTGACACAGTTCCACACAAGAGATTAGTGCAAAAACTGGAGGACCAAGCAGGGATAACAGGGAAGGCACTACAGTGGATCAGGGAATACTTGTCAGGAAGACAGCAGCGAGTCATGGTACGTGGCAAGGTGTCAGAATGGGCACCTGTGACCAGCGGGGTCCCACAGGGGTCAGTCTTAGGACCAGTGCTGTTTCTGGTATTTGTGAACAACATGAGGTGTCCCTGTTTGCAGATGACGAAGTTGATGAGAAGAATTCACTCTATCGAAGACCAGGCAGAACTACACAGGGATCTGGACAGGCTGCAGACCTGGTCCCGCAATTGGCTCCTGGAGTTCAATCCCACCAAGTGCAAAGCCATGAAGATTGGGGAAGGGCAAAGAAGACCGCAGATGGAGTACAGTTTAGGGGGCCAGAGACGACAAATCTCACTCAAGTAAAAAGATCTTGGGGTGAGTATAACACCAGGCACATCTCCTGAAGCGCACATCAACCAAATAACGGCTGCAGCATATGGGCGCCTAGCAAACCTCAGAACAGCATTCCGACACCTCAATAAGGAATCGTTCAGGACCCTGTACACCGTGTACATTAGGCCCATATTGGAGTATGCGGCACCAGTTTGGAACCCACGCCTAGCCAAGCACGTAAAGAAACTAGAGAAAGTGCAAAGGTTTGCAACAAGACTAGTCCCAGAGCTAAGAGGTATGTCCTACGAAGAGAGGTTAAGGGAAATCAACCTGACGACACTAGAGGACAGGAGAGATAGGGGGGACATGATAACGACATACAAAATACTGAGAGGAATTGACAAGGTGGACAAAGACAGGATGTTCCAGAGATTGGACACAGTAACAAGGGGACACAGTTGGAAGTTGAAGACACAGATGAATCACAGGGATGTTACGAAGTATTTCTTCAGCCACAGAGTAGTCAGTAAGTGGAATAGTTTGGGAAGCGATGTAGTGGAGGCAGGATCCACACATAGCTTTAAGCAGAGGTATGATAAAGCTCACGGTGAAGAGGCGGGGCCAGGAGCTCGGACTCGACCCCTGCAACCTCAACTAGGTGAGTACACATACAAACACACGAGGTGTTTGTAAACAGATACGAGCATCTGTTAAAAAAATATAAAATCTTCTTCTCCTCCCCCCCCCCACTTCCCGTCCATCTTAAAATCCCTGGTGATCTATCTCCTGGCCCCGTTGTTTTGGACTGTGTGGCGAACCTGGTTTCAACCCTGGCCGCTGTGGGGTTCAGGTCCACTTTACTAATGTGTTTTCTTTCGTAAATTCTCTCTCAGACTTGAGAGTTTTCAGTTCTTCTTTCAGAAGACATTCTCAGCGTTGCTCTCATTACTTCTTTCACTAAACACCCAAACATTCCATCACTCACAAAAGACCCAAACATTCCATCACTCACAAAAGACCCAAACATTCCATCACTCACAAAAGACCCAAACATTCCATCACTCACAAAAGACCCAAACATTCCATCACTGACAAAAGACCCAAACATTCCATCACTCACAAAAGACCCAAACATTCCACACTCACAAAAGACCCAAACAATTCCATCACTCACAAAAGACCCAAACATTCCATCACTGACAAAAGACCCAAACATTCCATCACTCACAAAAGACCCAAACATTCCATCACTGACAAAAGACCCAAACATTCCATCACTCACAAAAGACCCAAACATTCCATCACTCACAAAAGACCCAAACATTCCATCACTAACAAAAGACCCAAACATTCCATCACTCACAAAAAGACCCAAACATTCCATCACTCACAAAAGACCCAAACATTCCATCACTAACAAAAGACCCAAACATTCCATCACTACAAAGACCCAAACATTCCATCACTCACAAAAGACCCAAACATTCCATCACTCACAAAAGACCCAAACATTCCATCACTCACAAAAGACCCAAACATTCCATCACTCACAAAAGACCCAAACATTCCATCACTCACAAAAGACCCAAACATTCCATCACTGACAAAAGACCCAAACATTCCATCACTCACAAAAGACCCAAACATTCCATCACTCACAAAAGACCCAAACATTCCATCACTCACAAAAGACCCAAACATTCCATCACTCACAAAAGACCCAAACATTCCATCACTCACAAAAGACCCAAACACTCTCATTCCAACTACCACAAGACATCCTACAACACAGATTCCGAAATGAAAAACAAATTATCTCCAAAGTAAAACAAAAAAACACACGACCATAACACAAAACACAGATCTCTTTTTGATGTATCCTCGTGTTGTATCACACTGTGTAAAAACTATGCACATAAAGGGCCCTAAAATCTGAAATTCATTACCTAGAACATGCTAAAGTAACCAGGCCTGAAAATCAATTTAAAACTTTTTAAAAAAAAAAACATTTACTCGCCCAGGACTAAATAATCAACACTCATTATTTAACATTACCAATAATTCTCCCAATTACTTAAATCTTAAAACTTCAAGACAGCACATAGCAAATTGATCATTTGTTATACATTGTAATGTGACAAATTTGTACAACTATAATGCTTCGGTATCAATATGTTCAATTTTCATTGTTTCAAATAATTGTACTTCATATTGTAAATTATTTACTGTAATTTTTACCACCTTTCATTGCTTGTTAATTTTAAGTTAATTTTAATCCTGCCCATAATGTCTGCATACAAGGGGTTCTTGGCATGTACACCCAACTACTATAATTCATTGTACAACTATATATCATGTCCAAATAAAATATATGAATATGAATGTTGGAAGTGTAGGAAGGAAAACACAGGGAGAAGGTGTTGCCAGACAACATCTCGGAATTTTTCCTATAAAAATAATATGACAGGCCAGATGTGCTGACACGTTGGCAATAGTTACATCACGGATATTATTGCTAGCCTTGGGAACACTGAGAAATCAAGAGTGCAGCTAAGAGCTCTGAGAGATGTGGGACTGTTCCAGCCAGGGTATTGTGACCTGGGATAGTTGTACACTCTTCCAGTATTCTGACCTAGGATAGCTGTACACTGTTGCGACCTGGGATAGTTGTCAGCTGCTGCAGTTAGGGTATTATGAGTAGCATTCCCTGATAGAGTGTGTGTGTGTGTGATGTACTTGCAGGGTCAGGGTTGACGGGGGTGCTGGAGGAGGTGGATCTCAGGCGCTACGAGGACACCACTGGTCATCACCTAGCACAGAGCGAATGTATTGACTACTTTATGGTACGTAAATATTACCTGAATCCTCTCTTGCTAGGTGACTACTTACTGTTTCAGTCCTCCCTCATTATTCTCTCTCCTTCCTGTTAATGTCATCTTTCCTAATCTCCCATTCCACCCTTCTCACACCATCTTTCTCCCATTGCCTCTTATGTTTCTCATCACTTCTTTTATACAACCAGTGCTACTCTCTATATTTTAACTCGTTGAGTGAGTTCAGTAATGTGTAATGAATCTTTTACATTAGAACTTCATCCATAATCTTTTTTTTTAAAATACTGCACACAGAAATCACTCCCTACGAAAGTAAAAGACTGGGCAGGCGATGCAAAATGCCCCAATAAAAAGTAGGGGCGCCATTGGTACACTAAGAGAAAACACCATAAGTGTCCGGGGCCCAAAACTGTTCAACAGCCTCCCATCAAGCATTAGGGAAATTGCCAATAAACCCCTGGCTGCCTTCAAGAGAGAGCTGGACAGATACCTAAAGTCAGTGCCGGATCAGCCGGGCTGTGGCTCGTACGTTGGACTGCGTGCGGCCAGCAGTAACAGCCTAGTTGATCAGGCCCTGATCCATCGGGAGGCCTGGTCATGGACCGGGCCGCGGGGGCGTTGATCCCCGGAATAACCTCCAGGTAACCTCCAGGTATTATTGTTTTCATTGTTGTTGCTGCTGTTATTCGACTATACATCTTTTGGAGGTGTCTGGAGTAGACTGTAGTGGTCCCATTGTTTTGACCAACACTTCGGATAACCTCCCTATTACAGTTTATGTCTGTTTACTGGTACTGTATCATGAGTTGTTGATCTGGAAACCTGCCACTAACATCACAATGGAAACCTTCTCTAGAAAATTTCAAAGATTATCGGCAAGAAGATGGTACCAGAGGAGAATGATCTCTGATAATGGCACTAATTCTGTGGTACTATCACAATATTTAATCTCATTCATTCTAGCGAAGACGATTACTCCAGTGCCAAGGATGTACCAGCGCTTGATAGGCAGTGTAGATGTATCAGGAAAAGTTTTATTTCGACAAGGGATCAGCTTAGAACATTTTCAGTGTTGGCAGAAATGGAACTACTGTGAACAGTGTGAAAATCTTAACATTCTAACTTAATTCCGTTCAGTTGTTGGACGCGGTTTCGTTCAGTTACTGGAGGCAGGTTCGTTCAGTTACTGGAGGCAGGTTAGAGCCTGTACCTCCAGTGGTCGTGGAAACTAACAATACATTGCAGATAAACTGCTCAGAGAACAGACAGGATGATGAATTACGACACTCGTGCAATACTTCGGTATCTTTACTGTGAAAACTTTTCGCCAACCAGTGGCGTCCTCAGTCCAATACAGAGAAGAATGGTTGAAAATCAGTAGTAGTTTGAGGTAATCATTCCCTCCTCAGCCTGGTGTCGACATGATCAATCAATCAATCTTAATACAACGATACGGATTCGTTATGGGTTAAGTTTAGCCAATTAAAGAAGGTACTAACGCAATTCTAGCCTGAAATATCTCGCCTACCAGTGTATCATAATTCTTGCTAAGCAAGAACGTTGCCTTTGAGCGAATCTGCTGGGACCTCTTACTTATTTCTGCAACAGCACTGCGAGCTCCTGATGTATTGATTGCAACACGAAAGGCTAAGACCTATCATTCAACTCCACCTATTCTTGTTTTGCATTTTTTATCGCGAACAAGCAACAAAAATTGCAAAACAAAAACAGGGGTAGTTGAATGATAGCTCTAGGTCTTTCGTGAAGGTGTGGGATACGCTAGGTTGCATAAAATGGATTATTGCAGAGCTGTGGAAAGACAGATGCAAGTTGCAAAACTGATTTATATGAGACAACGTTTCACTCTGTAGAGTTTAATAGGGACAAGAATTAATGAAGCTCAACATAGTGAATTGTTGTTCCAGTAGAGACTTGCTGTGCAACCTGTGTAACAAGTGTTGCAGGCGGTAACATAGCAGTGTTGCAGGTGGTGTCGGACAGTCGGGTGCCGCAACAGAGGCAGTGTGGGTCGTGGTCTGTGTCGGGGCACGAACAGCTGACCCACCTCGGGTACCGACGTGCCCTGGTCGGGTACTGCCCCACCCCGCCTGCCAACGACCTCAACGTCCCTAGGTGCGGGGTGAGTACCTGTCTACCTCTAGTGTGCTAATAGTAGTACCTGTCTACCTCTGGTGTGTTCCTAGCTCCTGTCTGCCTCTAGTGTGCTAGAAGTAGTACCTGTCTACCTCTAGTGTGCTAATAGTAGTACCTGTCTACCTCTGGTGTGTTCCTAGCTCCTGTCTGCCTCTAGTGTGCTCCCAGCTCCTGTCTACCTCTAGTGTGTTCCTAATAACTCTCCACCTATAGTTTGTTCCTAGTACCTGTTTACCTCTAGTGTGCTCCTAGCTCCTGTCTACTTCTAGTGTGTTCCCAGCTCCTGTCTACCTCTAGTGTGTTCCTAGCTCCTGTCTACTTCTAGTGTGCACCCAGCTCCTGTCTATCTGAAGTGTGTTGCCAGCTCCTGTCTACCTCTAGTGAGCTCCTAGTTCCTGTCTACCTCTAGTGAGCTCCTAGTTCCTGTCTACCTCTAGTGTGTTCCTAGCTCCTGTCTACCTCTAGTGTGTTCCTAGCTCCTGTCTACCTCTAGTGTGTTCCTAGCTCCTGTCTACTTCTAGTGTGCACCCAGCTCCTGTCTACCTCTAGTGAGCTCCTAGCTCCTGTCTACCTCTAGTGTGTTCCTAGCTCCTGTCTACCTCTAGTGAGCTCCTAGTTCCTGTCTACCTCTAGTGAGCTCCTAGCTCCTGTCTACCTCTAGTGTGTTCCTAGCTCCTGTCTACCTCTAGTGTGTTCCTAGCTCCTGTCTACCTCTAGTGTGTTCCTAGCTCCTGTCTACCTCTAGTGAGCTCCCAGCTTCACAAATATGATCGTATTCCAGGATACACTTGTATAAAATTATGTACCAGTACTGACAGGTGTATAGGAAAGGTATACCAGTACTAACAGGTGTGTGGGAAAGGTATACCAGTACTGACAGGTGTATATGAAAGGTATACCAGTACTAACAGGTGTGTGGGAAAGGTATACCAGTACTGACAGGTGTGTGGGAAAGGTATATCAGTACTGACAGGTGCGTGGGAAAGGTATATCAGTACTGACAGGTGCGTGGGAAAGGTATACCAGTACTGACAGGTGTGTGGGAAGGGTATATCAGTATAGACAGGTGTGTGGGAAGGGTATATCAGTATACAGGTGTGTGGGAAGGGTATATCAGTACAGACAGGTGTTTGGGAAAGGTATATCAGTACAGACAGGTGTGGGGGAAAGGTATACCAATATACTGACAGGTGTGTGGGAGAGGTATACCAGTATACTGACAGGTGTGTGTCTGGCTTCCAGGTGACAGAACTGACGGTGGAAGTATCGGTAGGACAGCGAGACAGTCACTACCTGTGGAGGGACACCCGCTGGAGACCTCACCGAGGCTTTACCTTCGTCGTCACCGCCTACAGGTACTCGTGTAAGTTATCCCAGGTACTCGTGTAAGTTATCCCAGGTACTCGTGTAAGTTATCCCAGGTACTCGTGTAAGTTATCCCAGGTACTCGTGTAAGTTATCCCAGGTACTCGTGTAAGTTATCCCAGGTACTCGTGTAAGTTATCCCAGGTACTCGTGTAAGTTATCCCAGGTACTCGTGTAGTTATCCCAGGTACTCGTGTAAGTTATCCCAGGTACTCGTTGCGGTTGTGTAAGTTATCCCAGGTACTCATAGGTCATCCCAGGTACTCGCATAAGTTATCCCAGGTACTCGCGTAAGTTATCCCAGGTACTCATAGGTCATCCCAGGTACTCGCGTAAGTTATCCCAGGTACTCGCGTAAGTTATCCCAGGTACTCATAGGTCATCCCAGGTACTCGCGTAAGTTATCCCAGGTACTCGTGTAAGTTATCCCAGGTACTTGTTTAAGTTATCGCAGGTACTCATAGGTCATCCCAGGTACTCGCGTAAGTTATCCCAGGTACTCGCGTAAGTTATCCCAGGTACTCATAGGTCATCCCAGGTACTCGCGTAAGTTATCCCAGGTACTCATAGGTCATCCCAGGTACTCGCGTAAGTTATCCCAGGTACTTGTTTAAGTTATCGCAGGTACTCATAGGTCATCCCAGGTACTCGCATAAGTTATCCCAGGTACTCGCGTAAGTTATCCCAGGTACTCATAGGTCATCCCAGGTACTCGCAGTTCAGTATAGTTATCCAGGTACTCATAGGTCATCCCAGGTACTCGCGTAAGTTATCCCAGGTACTCGTGTAAGTTATCCCAGGTACTTGTTTAAGTTATCGCAGGTACTCATAGGTCATCCCAGGTACTCGCGTAAGTTATCCCAGGTACTCATAGGTCATCCCAGGTACTCGCGTAAGTTATCCCAGGTACTCATAGGTCATCCCAGGTACTCGCGTAAGTTATCCCAGGTACTTGTTTAAGTTATCGCAGGTACTCATAGGTCATCCCAGGTACTCGCGTAAGTTATCCCAGGTACTCGCGTAAGTTATCCCAGGTACTCATAGGTCATCCCAGGTACTCGCGTAAGTTATCCCAGGTACTCATAGGTCATCCCAGGTACTCATAGGTTATCCCAGGTACTCGCGTAAGTTATCCCAGGTACTCATAGGTCATCCCAGGTACTCGCGTAAGTTATCCCAGGTACTCATAGGTCATCCCAGGTACTCGCGTAAGTTATCCCAGGTACTCGCGTAAGTTATCCCAGGTACTCATAGGTCATCCCAGGTACTCATAGGTTATCCCAGGTACTCGCGTAAGTTATCCCAGGTACTCATAGGTCATCCCAGGTACTCGCGTAAGTTATCCCAGGTACTCGCGTAAGTTATCCCAGGTACTCATAGGTCATCCCAGGTACTCATAGGTTATCCCAGGTACTCGCGTAAGTTATCCCAGGTACTCATAGGTCATCCCAGGTACTCGCGTAAGTTATCCCAGGTACTGTTGTTGAATTAGACACATGTGCAACTCTAGGGTATCTTTATTGAGGAAACGTTTCGCCACACAGTGCTTCATCAGTCCATACAAAGGAGAAACTTGAACAGGAGGAGAATGAGGTAATCAGTCCCTCAACCTTGAGTTGCACATGTGTCTAATTCAACAACATGTCGGTTCTTTGAACCATTCATCTACAATCCTGTCAGACACTGCAACTTCTTGGGATCTTAATACTTGGGAATTCTTCACTTGCCTAACCCTTGGGCACGACCTACTTCCACATTGGACAAATGTGACACCACCTACGACTGCTGCACCTCTCCTGTCTACGGTTTATAAGCTGCTTGTCCGCTCTTATGCCGTATTCTATTCAAGATTGAATGACTGACCACATCGACTCAAGGTTGAGGGACTGATTACCTCATTCTCCTCCTGTTCTTCAAGTTTCTCCTTTGTATGGACTGATGAAGCCACTGTGTGGCGAAACGTTTCCTCAATAAAGATAACCAAGAGTTGCACACGTGTCTAATTCAACAACATGTCGGTTCTCTGAACCATTCATCTACATCCCAGGTACTCATAGGTCATCCCAGGTACTCGCCTAAGTTATCCCAGGTACTCATAGGTCATCCCAGGTACTCGCCTAAGTTATCCCAGGTACTCATAGGTCATCCCAGGTACTCGCCTAAGTTATCCCAGGTACTCATAGGTCATCCCAAATATTCTTGGAAGTCACTGGGAGTTTTGTAGGAGCTTCAAGGGGGGTTCCTTAAGATATGTTGTGGGGATGAGGTATTTCCACTAGAGGGCCCCACCCGCTTGTGCCCACGTCTGCAACTACTGCATCTCTCCACTGGTTCCACTTAATAAAAGGCTTGATGCTCGTGTCTTTCAGAAAAATTAAACCCACCCTGGTGGGCGAAACATCTCTCAGTAAAGATACTTCCCAGGTGTTGGTATTGAGGACTGTATCAGCCACTCAGGGCGAAACGTTTCCTTTAATGTATTAGTGTGTGTGTGTGTACTCACCTACTTGTGGTTGCAGGGGTCGATTCACAGCTCCTGGCCCCGCCTCTTCACTGGGCGCTACCAGGTCACTCCTGCTCCATGAGCTTTATCATACCTCTTCTTAAAGCTATGTATGGATCCTTCCTCCCCTACATCACTTCCCAGACTATCCTACTTCCTGACAACACTGTGACTGAAGAAATACTTCCTAACATCCCTGTGATTCATCTGAATCTTCAACTTCCAATTGTGACCCCTTGTTTTTGTGTACGATCTCCGGAACATCCTGTATCTGTCCACCTTGTCAATTCCTCTCAGTATTTTATATATCGTTATTATATCCCCCTATCTCTTCTGTCCTCCAGCGTCCTCAGGTCGATTTTCCTTAACTTCTCCTCGTAGGACATGTCTCTTAGCTCCGGGGCAAACCCTTGCATTTTTTCTAGTTTTCTTACGTGCTGGACTAGGTGTGGGTTCCAAACTGGTCCTGCATACTCCAATACAGGCCTGACATACACGGTGTACAGGGTCCTGAATGATTCCTTATCGAGATGTCGGAATGCTATTCTTAGGTTTGCTAGGCGCCCATATGCTGCAGCAGTTATTTGGTTAATGTTCGCCTCAGGATATGTGCCTGGTGTTATACTCACCCCAAGATCCTTTTCCTTGAGTGGAGTTTGTAGTTTCTGGACCCCCCCTAGACTGTACTCCGTCTGCGGTTTTCTTTGCCCTTCCCCAATCTTCATGACTTTGCACTTGGTGGGGTTGAACTCCAGGAGCCAGTTTCTGGACTAGGCCTGCAGCCTGTCCAGATCCCTTTGTAATTCAGCTTGGTCCTCGTTCGATTGACTTCTTCCAATCAACTTCACATCATCTGCAAACAGGGACACTTCTGAGTCTGTTCCTTCCGTCATGTCGTTCACATATACCAGAAACAGCACTGGTCCTAAGAATGACCCCTGTGGAACCCCGCTCGTCACAGGCGCCCACTCTGACACTTCGTCACGTACCGTGACTCGCTGTCTTCCCGACAGGTATTCTCTGATCCATTGCAACATCTTTCCTGTTATACTTGACTGGTCTCTTGTGTGGAACTGTGTCAAAAGCCTTCTTACAGTCCAAGAAAACGCAATCTACCTACCCCTCGCTCTCTCACTTGTCTTAGTGCTGTCACCCTGGCGTAGAACTCCAGTAGGTGTGTGACACAGGATTTCCCATCCCTGAAAAAATGCTGGTTGTCGTTGATAAGCTCATTCCTTTCTAGGTGCTCCCCCACTCTTCTGATAATCTTCTCCATGACTTTGCATACTATACATGTCAGTGACACTAGTCTGTAGTTTAATGCTTCGTGTCTGTCTCCTTTCTTAAAAATTGGGAATACATTTGCTGTCTTCCCTACCTCAGGTAGTCGCCCTGTTTCGACAGATGTGTTGAGGCGCTATGTGGCACACATAGCGCCTCTGCTCCCTCTCACAGGACCCATGAAGAGATGTAATCCGGCCCCATCGCCTTTGAGGTATCTGGCTCGTTTAACAGAATCTTCACTTCTTCCTTGGTTGTATGTATTGTCTAACACTTGTTTGTAGGTGTGTGTGTGTGTGTGTGTGTGTGTGTGTGTGTGGTGTACTTACCTATTTGTGGTTGTAGGGGTCGATTCACAGTTCCTGGTCCCTCCTCTTCGCTGTGCGAACACAAAACCGAAATACATAATTATTTTTTTTATATTTTATTGAAAATACACTTCATTACAACAATACATAATACATAATATATAATTATTGTTCATTTTTAATGTTTCTTTCTTCTCTCTATTGCGTTTCTCAACCTCTACGGATGTTATGCGGGTGCGCAGACCACGAGAGCGGGTGTGCTGCGGGGTTTCGCTCGTGCGGCACCACGGACCACACCCACAAACACCACTGCGTCCACCAGTCACTCTGGTGCGACCACCACATCAACTGCGGCCAACCACACAACTACGACGAGATCTCTTGCCTCGACGATGGTGAGCCGGTGGGTGGAGATCTAGGGGGGTCAGAGAGACTTTGGGAGTCAGGGAGTCTTGGGGTCAGGGAGGCCTAGGGGGTCAGGGAGGGGTAGGGGGCGAGGGGGGGGG